CTCCATCTTTGGGTAATTAATGGTAAATGTGTGGCTCCATCTTTCTGAATATACCAGGTCCCACCAATGACATGGCTCTATTGTTTTGCAACCCACAATTCCTGGACTTGTTCTGACAAGGGCTAATGCTCCAAACGTCAGCTATAGAATCTCTTCATGGTGGCCAATTCACATTTATCAACAGAAACAATTAAGTTAATTAATTAAGTTAATTTGGTTCATAAAACCAAATTAACTCATAATGCTCCCCAATGATGCAGCGCCGCAGTTTGTTTAGAAACTTAATCCCCTTTATTTATGTGCAGTTGCTGTCTGTTTTGCCAAAACAGAAAGGAATAGAAGAGGGTTCAAACAATTTTTCTTTTTTTTTTGTGCAAAGAGTCAGTGTATTACAAGAATCTGAGTTCCATGGAATCATGTTTCTTGCTGAGGGTAATTTTCCCTTCTCCCTCTCCTTTATGCATTAAGCCCTGGTTGTTCAAAGGATGGATAACACTATCCATTGGATAAACTCAATCTGGTGGATAGCGCAGTATGTACTGCTATCACATATCCGCTGGATAGCAATATTATTTATCTGTTGGATATTGTTATCCTTCCTGGGCCCAGATTGGCAGGCTACTTTCCTTATTGGATATAAGATTTCTGTGTAGTCAGTTTTTATCATCACTCCAGTTCTATAATTTAGTCATTTTATGATGTTGGCATTTTTTCTTTTTTTTTTTTTTAGATAAACTTGCTGGGATTAAGCTCTCTGAATTTGAAGAGGTCACTCAGTCAGTGGAAAGCCAGGTAAGTAAATTCATTGATAATTGTACACAGCAGTTTGGCCTTAACAATGTATGGCTTAACTCTTTACACCCTAATTTCAGTATCATATGGTTCTGTACAGGGTTTCTGCACTCCTTGAAAGTCCTTAAATTTAATTTTTTATGTTTTCAAGGGTTGAAAACCCTTGAATTTGGACTCAGATCCTTTAGAATTTCTGAAAAGTCCCAGAAAATATGTGCAGATGAATCAAAGTCAAAGTTTTGTTTTGTTTTCAGTGTTCAAAGTGTAAGTTTCTAGCACAACTCACTAAAACGAGTTTTCCTTTCAATTCCTGGTGCTGACAAGGAGAATTTGTGTAACTTAGTTGGTGATCATTTCCTTTATTCTCCTGACCTTAAAGAGGAATTCTTTGGCGATTTTATAGGAAGGAATTAGATGCTGGTCACTGTTAGGGGGTCAAAGGAAAGGATTAAGGAAAGGAAAAAGAAAACTCTGTTCCCTTCCCTGGATTTTCCACCCCTTTCCCTCCCTCTCCCCCTCCCTCCCTTTCCTCCCCCTCCCTTTACCCACAAAAACTAGTAATTTATCTATTTACTTACCAACTAAATGATCATTGTGTGGAATAAAACCTTTTAATTTTTCTTTTCAGTTGTTGCTGGTACAAAAATTCCACAAAAACCATAATCTTTATTCAAGTGTCCAATCACAAACCTTAAGGTATTAAACATAATTATGATTTTTTTGTTAGATAGGGAATTCCAAAATTAGATTCTGCAATTGCCTGCTACTAGTTCCAGCTCTGTTTTCTTGTGGGTAGCCTTTCCCTAGTTAAGTTCATGATTCTAGATATCAAGGTTTTCCATATGCAGGTAGCTCTCTGACATATGGCTCCAAAATTTAAGAATGCCCTTTCCCCTGTTTAAAAATCATAAAGCCACCAGGAGTATTGCTTCTCACTCTAACAATTACTAGACAAGTACTTATTCATACTCTTGGATAGAGAGGCACTTAAAGAATTCCTTTTCACTCCCAAGATCAAAGCATCAATTCTCTGTACTGCCTCTCATATATTTTTCTGGAAGATTGTTGCTTTGGGAATTTGGTGCTGAATCAAACAATATCCCTTAGTTGATATTTTTCTTTCTTCTCATTACCCTTCTGCTTGAAAATGTCTGTTATAGTAACGAGAAATTCTTCTTTGGTCACATTTGGGAGTTAAAGGGTATTTAAGTCTGTTGCCCAAAAACCCAGCAGGAAGACCAAGCACAGAATGGGACGTGAATCTCTTGCTCCTTTCTCTAGCAAGCTAAGCACCAAGCCTCCAAAACTCCAAGAATAACTAATTTATTAGGAAGTGGTGTAAATTTTTTTTTTTTCTTATAGGATCATAGATGACAATGTTCTGGCTGGATATTGTGCAAGGCTGGAGGACTGGATCTTGACAGCACAGGCTGGAGATGAAATTGAATTTAGTCCTGGCAGTTGTAAGTTTGAATGCAGATGAAACAGCCAATGCTTCAAAATAATATGAAACTGAGCTACCAGTAATTGTGAACTTGAAGTGAACATCTTAAGAGATGCATTTCATAATTCAGTCCTGTGGTTTTCTGGGTTTGCATGGAGCCAATATACATGTTTTAACTTATAGCAGCTTTGAATTTTGTGTAAAAATGTTTAACTTTTAGGATTTCTTGCTTTAATGAGTCAGGTAAGTAGGTAGGTATTAATTTCAACTCCGGTTGTTGAGGCTTATTAGGCCCCTAGCAATACATGCTAATATGCCGACAAAAGTATAAAAATATATATATATAATTAACTAACTGCAGACAGTACTGTTTCGGCCTTCTGGGCCTCATTAGTGCAGTGCTAATGCTAGGATGGGGAAGAACCGAGACGGTCACCCCAAACGACCCAACCTTTGTGGTATCGTCTAAGCCATGCCAGAGTGCTCAAACTAGAGTAAACCAGCGAGCATGCGCAATTGCAACGGCAATGACTCATCCTAGATAGAGTGCTCAATTTGGACATGAAAGCAAAGCTTTGTATGCCAAAGAGCTATATCTAACTGCAGACAGTACTGTTTCGGCCTTCTGGGCCTCATCAGTGCAGTGCTAATGCTAGGATGGGGGAGAACCGAGACGGTCACCCCAAACGACCCAACCTTTGTGGTATCGTCTAAGCCATGCCAGAGTGCTCAAACTAGAGTAAACCAGCGAGCATGCGCAATTGCAACGGCAATGACTCATCCTAGATAGAGTGCTCAATTTGGACATGAAAGCAAAGCTTTGTATGCCAAAGAGCTATATCTAACTGCATATATATATATATGTGTGTGTGTGTGTGTGTGTGTGTGTGTGTGTGTGTGTNCCAGTATCTTCTTCTGGAGGAAATAAGAACAAGATTTACAGGCATCCAGTGTACAATCAAGAGACAGTATAAGGTGAACAATGCAGGAGGAAAGAGACATTTAACCCCAAACGGTTTGTCTCTTGGGTTGTTGGGCAATGTAGAACAGATCTACACACTCCCGAACAGTTGATTTACTTCAAGTGTCTATGAAATTCATGAATCGATTTAAAAATCAAAGTATTTTTAGTGAACTCTCCACTAACAGACATACTGGTAAAACAGACGTACTTATGAAAAACTGGTCCCTGCCTTTCACCTTGAAATTGTTGGTCATTTTAATACAATTAATTTACTTTAAGTGATCTCTTCTCATGAGGTATTTCATTTTCTGTTGTGTCTTTCTAGATGCTAATAACAAAACTGCCTGCAACAAACTCTGGGTTTGATGGAGAGAGTAACACATATCTACTTTCTCAAGAACAAGAAAAGTAAGGAAATAAAAAATGAAATTATTCTCAGCTGGGAAAAACTTTGTGGGTGTAAAACGATCATTTCACGCTTGTAAATCGAAGTCTGTGAATTTTCCTAGAAACAGTCATAAGTAAAAATGTGTCTACCTCCTCCCTTTCTCTTTGAATCGTGCTCGCCCCTCGCCCCTCCCCCCCTCCCCCAGTTGTCACGCCTACCCGAGACGAGCTCACAACCTCATGTAAACAGACGGCTGAATTTTTTAAGGAAGTAAGTGAAACAGTTAGCTCGCCCAGGGTAACTCGGGGGAAGGGTTGTCTCGGGTACCCGAGACCACGTAAATGGGGCCTTACTTGTCTCATTAGTTTCTTATGGCTAATCCCTCGTGCGTTGTTGGTTTCTTTTCATATATAGAATCTTGAATGCATTGTTGGGGTTTTCCAGAGTTTTCCAGGTTCTAGCATCATGTAAAAAGGTGCCTACATTTATAATTATGATAGTTTGATGATTGTGAATGTTCCCTCAGTCAGGCCTCATTGAGTTTTATCAAGGATATACGTAAACTAGCAGAGATAATACACGCGCTCTAATAGGTCAGAGACTTGTCACTTATAGTACTGATAAACTTGTAGCTATTTTAAACAGCAAAAGACCGCCTGAGGCTCATGATTTACATATATTTCTAGTGTTTTTCCCACACTGTGTGTGGCTTATCACTTTGATAAACAGAAAGTGCGGTTTATTAAAAAGAAATAAAAGTTTGGATGAAGTCAGCAAAAATGCGTTTACACCAACAAGTTTCCACTAGTTTATTTACTAAAGAGAGACCTTTGGTGATGCCCATTGGCAAAAAAAAGGGGGAAAGTGTTGATGCAGCTGAAGGTGTGTGAGGAACAAGACCTATAGCAAGGCCCCATTAGGCTGGGTCTGAGTATCCTGTATCCTATTAATTTTTTGGCCCCAATATCCAGTATCCCGTTAATTCCTGTGGTTTGCATCCCTATAATTCCAGTTCGATATCCCGTAATCTCTATTTTATATATTCCGTTTTTGCTTAAGTTTCGCTTATCCCTATTATTTCTTACCGAAATATTCTGTATCCTCTAGTATAGGGCCTCTGTAATGGCGGGAAAAAGTCTCTTTTATCAAACTTTGTGATAAATGAATAATGAATTGACAATTAATAGCGTTAAACCGTTTGATGTTATTTTGTATTTATCAAGCTTTTTTTTATTAATAATCAGCCTCTTGTAGGACACAACGTTTTAACGGACTTGTTGCTAGCTTACGAGAAATTTCATGAACCTTTACCAGGTGCGAACCTATATTCTTTGTTGATCTTCTTCTTGCAACAATTTGTTTCCTTGGTTTCTTTATCGTTTTCGTGAATGTACTTTCACTAACGAACAACCTGAGCATCATGTACGCGATAACTCTTTTGTTACTTTTTTTTCTACAGAGAATTTTAAAGATTTTAAACTAGAACTTCATGGACTTTTTCCAGTGGTTTACGACACTAAATTTATTGCCTTTGAAATTCGGGGGAATCCGGTAAGTACGCGTAAATTGGTTAGTCGTGAAGACGGGGAAAATTCATTTTGGTTTGTATCTTTAGGGTGTGTCTTAAATTGATTGTCGAATGATAAACCCTTAGGTACTTACAGTAGCCAATCATGCAAATGAAAATTTTACAAGGCTCCTGTGAGACCTCATACTAAAACAGGGAAACTGCCTTAAAGCGCGGGAAAATTAGATTGACCAAGACGTAGTTGGTTTCAGTTTTGCATTTGATTGGCTGAGAGAGTGGTGTGAGTTTTTAAGACCAATCAAAGCGAAGCGAAGTAAAGTAGAGTCAATGCAACTCTAATGCAGCCTTAGATTTCTTTGGACACTGGGTTAAAAATTGTTTTAACACGTAAGCTGACAAGACCGGGAATTTAGTCAATGTTATGACCGAAAGAGCCTTTGGGCCTTCAGACTCAACTTCGTTCATTCTCGTTCACTAAATCAGTCAACTTGTTTTGTCTTTAGGGTTTATCACAGTGCAACTTCTTTGATGACACAAACTTAGAAAAGCTTCACGGTGTGCTTTCAAGGTAAGGAGAACATCATTGGTTGATTTGACAGTCAAATTAACCTACTGGTTATTTTGGAATAAGGGAAACTTATCAAAATAAGACGAAACTAAGATGTCGCAACCTGTTTTCGAGGCGTAGAAGTGTAGTTTATCCCCTTTAAGAGTAGATTTGAAAGAAGTTGCTGGTATCACAGAAGAAGATCTAGTTTCGAAAAGTTGAGAACTATTTCAAAGCTTCCAATTCATTAAGGAACCTTGTGCAAGACGCATAGAGTAAAATAGCATTCCTCTGGAACCTAAAAGAATACCTTGTTATACGACATTTGACCATTCAGACCACACGAGGGAGGAGTACCCCCCTCCCCCTCCCCCCGTGTGAGTTTATCCCAACAAACTTAAACACTACATTAATATGTTAACTTGAAATTAAATTTCTCGTCATCTTTATCTTTACTTTATAGTAACGAGGGACAGTACTTTGCTCTGTTCGCACCCTCGATAGTATTTTCAGAAAAATGTCACAGATACCGTAAGTATAGGGGTCACTGAAGTTACATTAAATGCTTATGAGGCACTACCATAGGCCTAGTAAATAATTTTTTTAAGAAATCAAGTATGCATTGTTTTGCAATGGTTAAATGAAACATGGCTGGAAAATGTGGAAAAACTTTGATGTTTTCTTTTTCTTCTGATATTTTAGTCGACGAGAAAATGCCTCACGAAGCTGGTTATGATTCATTCCTCTCTGGCTTTGGTTAGTAGTATAACTTTCTTGAAACCTTATCATTTGTTGTACAAATCGCAGGAATTCCTACTTGTGAAAGAACAGTGATAAACCTTAGGGAACCCAAGAACGCACGGTTACTGCTACTGCTAATGGTGCGCTTTGACCTCAAATAATCAGCACTACCCTCGAAAGAATTGCAGCAAGTATAAGAGAAAGGAAATTCAGTGGGATAAAATATTTATTCTTCTCAACAGTTTTTCTTCGGATGGCGCATATGCTGGCATACAGGGAATCGAAGTGAGTGACACGTCACAGTTCTTGACCAATCATATTGCACGATTAGGAATTAAGGCAGTGCCAAATAGTGCCCTCTGATTGGTTCTCCCCAGATCGTCACTCAGAAATTGCAATTTTAGGATCCGCTTGAATTCACAAACTGGTGTTTTATAATGCATTTTCCTGAACTGGCATGAGACTGGTATGTCTCCATTCAAGTTATCTTCTAATTTGCAGAAGGTCTCCCGAAGGACCGCTACCATTCTCAAAATTCCTTCGCGTGTTAAAGCCGTACGAGAATCTTCTACATTTGAGCAGAGCACAAGTTCAGTATGTGGTATGTAGGATGGTCCTTTCAGCAATTCTGAATAATTAACAGCTTTTTGTAGAACGCCATCACCATAGTCATTTCTTATTCTAATTGGTTGGAATTGATCACATGAACAGATCAGTGAAGAGACCCAACACTATTAGGCGATAGTGTCCAGCTGTACTAAAGTTTTAAATGCTTTATTCATTGCTGGGATAGCGTTCGACAGAAATGTTGTTTATTTTCAGAGGGTTCATTTAAACTTCTTACGATGACTTCAGTTAACAAATTCTTACCACCTTTTTACCTAGAACTTAGCTGGTCCGGACACACCTTCTATTCGACCCCAATGGCTTTACGTTACCTCCAAAGTGAAAGCTAAGCCACTTATTGCCAGGACAGTAAGTTCCTTTGTTGTTGTGTGTGATATTTTCAAACACCTTTACACAGTGATGAAAATCAAGGTCAAGTTTTGGTAAATTATATTTTTGACAGTTGGCTCAGGAATTCGCGCACTTTGGTTCCGTGGACGTCAAAATGTTAGACTCACAACACGCACTGGTAGCTGTCGCTCATCATAGAAAGTGAGTGTCGTGAACTTTTTTTTCCCGATTTTAAAATGGTTTTTGAAGGTGAAGAGTAATATAATGTAATCACTTAAATGCTGAAGTGTAGTGATTATCCAGCCCAAGGTGCACACTCGCTAAATTCTGTTCGGTTCCCTCCTTGTTTCCCATGGTCCGACTTTATTCCATACAAATATTGCATCCTACATTCTAGGGAATGTCGATCAAGTGAACCCTTTTTCTGTCTCTCATTTTATGCTATCTTTTGTTCACCCATGGGCTATCATGTCGAATATTCCTCCATATTATCAAGCCGTAACGAGGCCCCAACAGCTGTCAATGGCCCACCAGCTTGATGGCTCATTTTGTTGTTATAATTATTATTTTTCTCCTTTGTTTATAGAGAATGGCTAGCTTACCACCGCAGGCGCCCTATTTTCAAGTTGCCTTTTTAGTTTCATTAATTACTTTGTGTTAAATATGTCAAAATGTATAGCTGACAACTTACCATCACAGTTAATTTAGAACACCAGGAACGTCTAAAATGCTATAAAAAGTTGTAAAATAGCATTCAGAGTTACTACTCGCCTTAGTAGTCTATGAATCGTGCACGATACGCAGGGCTTTTTAATAATAGATCTCAGTAAGAGATCATCCTGAATTAGATATTGGGCCTCTTTCAGTAACAATTTATATCTGAAATAAAAGTTCGTAAAAAAACTTCATGATCTTTTCTTTCTGTCCCCTATCAGAGCAAAAGATGTTTTACGTACATTTCAACGCCACAAAACGCTCAGTGTGAGGCAGTACCACCCATTTTTTGATTCACCCAAGGTGAAGGTAGCTCTGTGGTAAGTAAAGCATGTTCGAAGATGACTTATTTTTAGAGCTCTTTTTGTTTCGACGGTTCCTGATACACCTGCCTTAACTAATTGCAATTGTTTTTCAAAAAAGATCTCCTCAGGAGAAAATATGTGAAAACACTTCATCTTTTGAAAGTATATGTATCATATGAGACTTCTTCAGTTTTGAAAAAATGAGTAACTGACATCGCATTTAAGGGTGCACGAACAGGTGTTTTCGAGTCGCGTTTATTCTGCTTATACCCTTAAGTTTCCCTTGCCCAAAAACTGCAAAGATTTCATAACTAATGTATATAATTTTTTCCTTAACTTTGACTTACGGAAATGATCAATGGGGATTTTTCCTCATAACATCAACACTTTTTCAGCAAATGTGATTTAAAGAAAAAGAAAAAGAACTACTTACTAGAGGATATTGTTTGATTTAAAACCAAATTATCTGAGTTGAAATTAAAAGAAATGTCCTGCAGACAGCACGAAGGATTGATCTTGAGATGGTGAGGTTAAAGTGACTTTACTAGGAAAACTCTCTGGTGAAAATTCAGCGGAATTTATCTCCTTCGCTTCGTAGACCAAACTGCACAGCACCTTCCCATTTCCTACTGGAACAAGTAAACCGGCCCCACGGATTTTGCTTCGCAAAATAGATTTGAACAAAGTTGGACTTGAATTTGAATGCAGCAGGGCTGGGGATATTTTTAAAATTTTAGCTGTTGATCTTAATGAATGTTTCATAGATGATGCATTAGATGTTTTATGTTTTCGTTTACACGACAGTGTTTTATAACTGACATTTGTACTATTATTTATGCACGCCCTTTGGTTTGTTCTTGGTTTGCCAGGTGCGGCGGAACTGTTGTGATCTTTTCTGCTGTTGCGGTTTTTCTGTGGAAATCATGGACGTAGTTGATTGCATTGCCGGTCAGAGACAAGTTAAAACTGAAACTCTATCAATTTAGTTTGTTTATTATTTTTTTTACTTTATTTAACTGTACAGTAAATGAATTTTGGACATTTTCAATAAAATGCACAAGCTAAAATTGTTTCTGTTCTTTCTTTTAAAATATCTTTTGCAAAGCGCGCGTGCCTTAATGTAGCGTTATCCATTTACGCTTATGTGGTATTAACATGAAAGTGTTTTGGCTATCGATATTCTGCTTATCGCATTAAGTAAGTCCAAAGAATAAAAAACTAAAAACTTTTTTACTCTCGCTGTTAAGTTTTATTTCCCTGTGTCGAGTCGAATTTGCTTCTGTAGCGACTGGATGTGGCGAAGAAAACGTAGCACTTTGTTAAAACTAATTTTGTGTCCTTATTCTATTATTGTTTGGCTGTTGTTTACACGTTCGCGGTCACCTTTATCATTCAGGCAGATTAACGTCAATGTTTTGCTAACATATGCCTTGTCGTGCATGACAGCAAAAAAATACTATATCTTCGCTCAGGTGATCATTTTTTTCCATGTCCATGCAACATGATTTTGAAGTGTGAGTTAACAGCGTAGAATACTGAAATTGCTTAAGCCTTTTAATACAATGTCACTACAAAATGACGGTAATTGTGTTCTTTAAAATATAGCTAAAGCAATTTATTTTTCACTGTTGATCGGTGCTTAGTGGAGCCAATCAGCGCGCCGAAAGCGAAGTCACTTAAGAGAAGAATCAATAATTTAACACCCATACGGGAGTTTGATCGGCTTATTAACATAAAATGTGTTGGTCTGTTTCTACGATCGAAATCGATGGAGGTGCTCAGTGAAGAAGTCGACGATGACAGCGACGTTGCAGAAAATCACCTGCTTAAAACCGAACCTTCTGGCTGTGTTTGTAACAAGGGGTGGGAGAACGAATTCCTCTGTGGATGGGCGCCGTCATTTGAGCGAAAAATTTCACGGAAGCCAACGAAACACGCGTCGTTAAGCAACACGCATAAAGACGGAAAATTACCGCGGACAGACTGTGGATTTGTTTTTCGACATTATGAGAAAACTAGTCGCTACATCGAACAGTACCGAGAAAATCACAGCAGTGCCTTTTTGGTACGTGAGGAAGAATGGAGACCAGTGTTTGGAGTTGATGTACCAGATCCATACCTGCCTAAGGTCGGGAGTTCGAGGTAAGGTTTGTTGACATTATTTCTTAATTGTTTATGTAGGCTCTTACTTGTGGTTTGTGCCCTATTGTGCGGGTGGAAAAAAAAAACCTTCCTAAAGGGCAATAAATCTGGCCAAAATGATCCAAGCTTTGTCAAAATTGCAGAGTATAACCCGCCTTTATATTTTCTCTAAGAAACGTTTCTGAATGTTGGTATGTATGGATTGCTCGCGTTGGGTATATAAAGAGACACTGACAAGTTGATTACAATTATATGACATTTATTGTTTGAGAAAACTACCTTCTGAACAGAATAGACTGCAAAGCAAACCACAAAAATATTCTCTGTTGTTTTCCTTGGAATAATTTATTTCATAGTTGCGAAATGCAGATGAATACATAAAAAACACCATATTGTTACCTTGCCCAAAACCTTCTTGTGTTAAAAAGTTCCCTTCCGTACGCTCATTATTCACGCTGCTATCATGTTTAATCGCTGGTTAACATTTTAGGCTTTTTTTCCCGAAGGGCATGCGGAGACAATACCTGTAAACCGTATTTTCATGTTTTTTTTCCACGACAATACTGATCTGACATTTCTCAAAAATTTATCATGGCGATCTTGTCTGATAAAGTACTTATGGATTCATCCGTCGATAAATATTATGAGTTATGAATGTCGCATTTATTGTCACGTATTAGGGACTAAATTGCCGTAAAGTGATAACTATGTTTAAGGACATCTTCCTTTTGTTGTGGGCTTTTATCACTCGCTTGGACAAATTCACGAAGGTACCAAGACTCTATACTTTTCTTCTTTTATTCTCTCCTCTTCTATTGTTGCTACTACCTTCTACTACCACAGCTATTTCTCTTCTTACTTCAGCGAGGAGTGCCCTCTCATTTAATGCAAAAATCACAGACATGTTTGGGTTAGCTGACCGTGGGAATTTCCAAAACAGGATATTCAGTGTGGGTAAAACTCAAGGTCAGTTTTACCAACCCAAACATGACCACCTAGCAAACTAGTTATCCTCAACCATAACAAGCGATTAAAATGTCTAGCACGGTAAGAACTGAGCCAAGTTCAAGCACGCACTAAAAATAAATGATCAAAACTATAGATCTACCAAAATAGCACGTAAGGGCGAAAAGGCGAGATTTAATAAAACACAAGGTAAACCTATAAATTCTCGAAATATCAATCCTTGAAAATGCTCTACAACACTTTCTTTGATCACAAATGTTCGGCGTCATTAATCGCTTGATCTGGCTCGCACGTAGTTAGGGTCAAGGAATCTCTTGATTCAGCCACTTCTTCATATGCAATACAACCTATCTCGTGATTTCATTCTAGTTTACTAAGTGTGTTTTTGCCCCCTCTTTTTCGATGTGCTCTCCAAAGGAATTAAGGGTGGTATGGAAAAAATTTGCCTTAAATGTTCCGGCAAAACCTCGTATTTCTATTCATCTTGATTAATGCGTCGAAAAAGAAAAAAGCAAGGTAAATCTGCATATGATACTGACTTGCAAAATTGCTGGAGCTCACCCAGGGTTCGTTTCAACACGTATACACGAAACGGCATCGAGCATTGCTACTCCCTTAGGACTTATCCTAGTTCCTCGTGGTTTAATCCCTGAACTTTTGCATGTTTCAGTCCCTGTCTGTTCACAGACTCTCTATTTTCGCTTAGATCATCGTCCAGAGCGCGAGCCAAATAAGAGCTGCGGGTTTTTTCTGAAAGCGAACGGGTACAGAAGTGGGTGGCGGTGGGTAAGAGATAAATAAAGTGGCCCTCGCGCTCTTCTCACGTTCCTCTCCGTTCGCTCTTTTCACACCTCTTAAGGTGTGAAAAGATCGGTGCACCGTACCCATATATTGTTCTGGTTGGCAAGTGCCACCATGAATGGAAAGTGCCTTGCCTATTCTAGCCTTAGAACACCAAAAGAGGTACATTCGCTATCTTTCAGTTTAGCCGACGGTTTCGTTTATTTCTTTCTTGCAGCTTTTCCCCAGCAGCAAAGAAAGAAAATCAATAGCGAAATTTACGTCAAGTCTGCATATTACGCCACGAACTTTGAGTAGTGCGTTTCTTGCGTCATGTCAACACCCATTTCTTAAGGATTTTTTCTAACTTTTATAAGCAGACAAGTTCACTTTATTAATTATACCTCACACAGTGCGTGGCCAGCACTTGAATTGTCCTATGTGCTCCGCCGAACGATAGAGGCCGAGGTAGTATCATATGTATTACAGTATAACGTATACTTATCCTTCACACTTTCTTTTTTCCCGCTAGTTACGACACTTTTCCTTGAGAATTACTGATCAAAATTCGACTTTGTATCACGACGCCATCATGTTAGCTTGAAATCTTTGTCTTTTTCCATCGGTAACGATTGTATTTTCGTGGCAGCTTCTTGGTCATTCAGGTGTTGGGGGGTGTTAGGCGACTCGCTCAATAAATTAACTGAGACTCTGGTCTTTAACGATTTCTTTCCTATAGCTTCTCTCTTCTCTTTCTGCAACTGCTATTACAACTGCTACAACTATCACAACTGTTACTGCAACTCGCAACTAGCAACTAGCACAACTAACTCTTCTATTAATCTTCTATTAATCTTCTATTAATCTTCTATTAATCTCTACGCATTAAGTAGGGAAAATGGTAGACATGTTTGGGTTAGTTGACCATGAGAACTTTCATTGTATATTCTTTTACTTTGCAAGGGGGAAATCGAGGAACTCCCTCCAAAGTATCCGGCCAACATTAAAGAACCAATTAATTGAAATGCTAACAGCAAGGCTGCGCGCAAGAATCGCATACACAAACAGGATCCTTGGCGTGGGTAAAACTCAAGGTCAACTTTACCACACAAACATGACCACCTATAAAACTAGCCATTTCCAACACCAACAAGCGATTATAAGGTCTAACAAGGTAACAAGAAAAATCCGTGACTTAAGAATAGTTTAAGTACATACTAGAAACATAAGGTCAAGGCAAAAGAACTACAAAAACAACACGTCTACGCAAAAAGCGAGACTTAACAAAACAAAAGGTAAACCTAAAAATACTCAAAATAGCAATCCTTGAAAATACTCTTCAACACAAGTGTGACTTCCACATTTGTGGTCTCAACGCTGAGCAAAATACATTACAAACTCTTGAATTTAATAAGATTTCTTATCAGTCATGTTCTTATTATCGCTTCAGCAAAACTGTTTTTGACCGGGTGAAGTTCATTGAGGCCATGACGTCAGACTACTGCAACGTGGCTGCTATGAGGAGGTAAGATAGTTATATCATGATGTCGTGCGTAAGTACTACTATGTCTAAGAGAGTGGAGGGGGGAGTGGGAGGGTGGAGTGGGAGGGGGGGTCAATATCATGGATTGTGTGCAAATGCTCCGCACGAGAGATGCACTATTTTCTAGCTTTTGGTATATGAAAAGAATGAGGATCTCACCAGTTTTGTTTTTGAATAATAATGAGAAAAACCATTGCTAAATGATGGGTCTTTGAAAGGTCCTGACTACTGACCAATTTAAGTATCTTTAGAAGTTACTCTAAAGCTCAAAGGGTTCAAGTTGTTTTGGTTAGATCGTGTATGTGGCACATAGGCATGCCTAGTCTCCCATTCACTATGCTGTATCTAAGATTTGTATTTTCTTCTTCCCTATTTGTAGTGATTTGCAGAACATCTGTCTCACTGGAAAAAGGAAAGCGGGCGGCGATCGCAAAGCGGTGCTGAACAATGACACCAAGTTGAATAGTGAGAGTTTACCGTTCATTGTTACTGCTTCAAATGGAAAGAAAGTTTCACAAAAACTTGGGAGAAGAAGACAGAGCACTACTTCAGAGGGAGACAAACCGGATGCTGTTATAAATCGCCAGGATGTCATTCGAACTGCACCCGAATCAACACGAGATCCTATTCTCCCTTGCATGTCTTCCGTTCCCGACCTTCCGCATAAAATGGAAGACAAACCGATTTTGAACTTGACCAAACATACAACGGTGGATGACTCAAAACGATTCCAAAAGGAACGAATCCGGCTTCCAAAGTTTCAACGGACGGAATGTCACGTGAAAAATAACCGCAAAGCAACAGACGAAACTAATGTGCCTGTTAAAGAGGAAAAGAAGGAGAAACCAGTGAAAGAAGTACCAGAGAGCAGTGATAGCGATGAGAACGCCATGATCACAGCTCGAAAGTTAAACTCGACCGTAAATCTACAAATAGGTGGTTTCGTGCTACCCACAACAAGCTCCAAACCAAAGCCAGCGTACGTTACAGTTGGAAAGTGTGAAATATTTAGCTCCACGAACTCGTCTGGTTCAGAGCGGCGTATTCGCAAATCTTACGAAACGGCGAGAAAACTTCCAAGCAAAACCGCATTTATTCGGGTTTTAGGTCATCAAACGGGCCCTCCACCAAAAAGTGCAAATAAAAACGAATCTAAGGGGGCTAATAAAGAAAGACCAAATACAAAGGAGAGAGCCCTCATGAACCAAAATTTACCGATTCATTACTTGACTCGGTTTGGTAGACGGAAATTTCATCACGTTTTGGAGGCGCGTTCGTTTAAACCTTCAGAAAAGAAACTTGGAGCCACAGCGCTAGCACATTTTCATCACTGATTCAAGGAGGTCGTAAATTGAGGAAAACTCATGTCACGCCTCTACATATGCTAACTAGTGAAGCGGACTAGTAGCAGTTCTGTCTCCCTTCACCCAATTTTATCCTTATCGCTGGTCAACTCTATCGTACAGTGCTTTAGTTAAAGATGAGAAATGTCATTTTCTCATTACACCAGCCGATTATCTCAATTTTTACGCCATTTTCCGGCTAGGTGCCTAATTAATCACAGTATACCAAAATGAAAATGAAGACGAGGGATGAAGGCTGAGAAATTTAGAGTTAAAACGACCGACGTCATTTTCCCTATTCGTCAATTTTCAAAAAGCATCCTGGTTGGTATCTCTGAAACTTGGAATGTAAAAACCTACGTTTCCTGTGGGTGATTTTATAATATTTCTATCATTGAGCTATCCACTTTCCCTCGGTAGTTTAGAAGGGGGATGCACCGTGCATAAATCGCTATGCGATATAAAGTAGTGTTAGCGTTATCCATCTTTCGAACAATTAGGGCCACGGAAGAAATTGGTACAAGAAGACTGACAAATTTAACAAGCTTAAAAAATAATTGTCTATCTGTTATTGTATTTATTTATCACCGAGATTTAATATAAATACAAGATATTTTTATTTTAGTGGTTTGGGAAAATAGTCATATAATAATTGCCTGGAGAGAAAAGTATTTGACTCGTCTGCTCCACTGCATGGAGAGGTACAGACACAATGTTAGTCCTTTAAGCTGTGGTCTAGGGTTCATTCAAGACCACATATTTTGTTTAATATTTATTTATGTGCAAATAAAAGTTGAGAAATTCTGCCTGCTGTGTGTTTAGATGCGAATGGTAACATGCGCAAGCTTTGCCCCAGGGTTCGCTCGAGGCACACAACTTGCCCCAGTTTCCTCCCCTGCTAGTGCAAACATGGTGGTGGACATTAGAATATTGTTCACTTTGTGATGCAGATTAGTTTTTTGCCAGCTCTTTGTCTTCGTGCGTAGCTGTTGTCTCTCTAATCTGACTTGATAGAACTCAGCCTCTATTGTAATTTTCTGTCGGAGATCGTTTGGATCTCCTCAAAGAATGTGGCTCATCGATCTATTCTGACGGTTTGGAAATTTACCGTTGTCATGGTACACTGAAGCTGCGGATGAACTGAGCTGTCTGGGAAAGAGCAATATCGCAAAATACCTCGATTCCTCGATGTTGCTGGTATAAAGAAACGGCAATTTCGCAATGGCTGACGATCTGTGAGCTTATTTCATTGAATGGTTGCCAAGTGAGGTTCTCTTTAAGTCGTGATCAACCAAAAGTTTTGAAACAGTCGAGTGGTGGTTTTCTTAGCGAAATCATTGGTTTTAACCAGCTGTTCTTTACAAGACTTAATGAATCCCTTAATGCTTTTATATCAACCATTGAGAACTGATTTTTATGTACTCTTCAGTAAGTTGTATTTACATAGACAATGAACTCCTCCCGTCAAACAATAACTCAATATTTCGACGTTTAAATGTATTTTTAAAGATTGATTACTACTTATTCTGTTTGTGCCCATTGGAGTTTCGTTTACTGGCATTTTGTGGTATCCAAAAGCTGTCTCCAAAGGGTAAAAACCTTTGAAAAGAAGCAGGCTAACATTTTTCAACAATGTCACGAATGAGGACTGGTTTGAGGGCAACAGTGCCTACAAGACATTCTCCAACTAAATTCCCCCCAGTTAGCAATGGTTTGAGGTCAAGTTCTTTACCAGGGAGTGCCAGCAGGAGAGATCCAGAATGGGCAAGTGATATGATAAGGGGGGTTCAGTTAAAAACAGCATCTAAGACACCTTTGGTAGCTGCAAATTCTCCTCGAAAGACTCCAGCAGGCCTTGAGGAGGTTAAAACAACTACCTCACTAAAGCAGCATGAAGAAAGGATGTTTTCCAGTTCTCAACAAAGTATGCGGGAAAGTGCCAAAGATAAAGAAATTGAGGTAAACTTTGCATCTTTCATCATTTATTGATAGAGAAGGGAAGGGGTGCACTGATAAGCAGTTGTCAGTGGTGGGAGCTTCTATAGGGGCACAAGAACATATGTCCCAATAAATTGTGTGTAGGAGACCTTCCCCCTACCTCACCAGCCCTGAAGAGTACAACCTCCCTAAGTTTTTTGAGACTATGTTAATTTATATCCATTTCAGAGCAATGGAAATTCCACCCAAGTGGATATTTTGAGGTTTGGTTAAAAGAAAAAGATGTAGATTGACAGTTTGAGAACCGATATTTTTTATCTTTGGTATGAGTCACTAATATTGGACTATTTGAACTACAAAAGTGAACTTTTTTTTAACTTTTCAAATGTTTGAAATATGTTTTACTTGTTTTGTCTTGTTTTCTTTTGATATTACACAAATTGTTGTTTGTTTAATACCAATGCTGAGAAACTATTCAGAACAGTGCTTCAAGAGCATACCTTAATATGAGGGGCTATAAGGGTGATTGAAACTCCAAACCTAAAAACTGTACCATTTTTGTTCTCCAAACAGATAAAAGTGTTGAATTTCTTCCCCCAAATTACTGCCTTAATTTCAAATTGATTTGGCAAGGTGATCATTATTGCCACACCTTCTATAATTAGCAATTTTGGTACTTTCATCTTTTCCAGAAGCTGAAGTTAAAAATCTTATCTCTTCAAAAGCTCATTGAGCAGCTTCGCACTGAAATTAAGGAGAAAACCAACAAAATGACAGAATTGGAGGAGAAGCTCAAAGCACAGGTAAAGGCTTCACTTGTAACCCAGCAAGAAGCCATTGAGAAACATAAGTAGAAAAAGCTATTAGCAATTGTCTTGTGCATAAAATTGGGAAAAATAGGAGTCCTCTGCAAAGACTCACATCTTAGACTTGGTGCTTAGGTGATTTAACAGCTGAGTAACATAGAACTCATTGGTGAGATACATTATATCTGGGAAAAGAGGAGAAATGCTTTGCACATCTAATGGGACATACATGTGCACAGAAAACTAGAAGACAAATTTTTCCTTATCATGTCAGCATGACAATCTATACTCACCAAATATATCATGGTTTTCATTTTTTTTTTTTTTTTCTACCAAACTGACAGAAAGGAAAGTTTAAAAGAATCTCTAGCAGGTCACCTTTTCAGTGTAACACAAAATGCTAGATGAATGTTATAACCCTTGCTTAAAAAGACTGTCAGGTTCTCTGTGATAGGTGATCTAGAATCCCATTCACCGTCCTTGATTACGGCTGTTATGACTGTGGTGATTTTTAATGTGAGATCTTGTTTGTTGATAGGAGGCTGAGTTTGAAGAAAAGATCAACAAAATAAGAGCCATTATCAGTGAAAAAGAGAAAGAACTAGATAAGAAGACAAAAGTTATAAAAAGCAAAGATTTAGAAATAAATGAACTGAAGGACAGCTTTGAGAAAGAAAAGGAAGGGATTACAAAACAGGTAAGCATGAAAACACAATTGAAGTAACAACTGACAATGATGTGACAGAAAAATCATAGTCATAGAATGTTAGTGGCTTATTATGCAGTCTTTCCACAGTTTGAACTTGAATTGAATGAGTTAAAAGAGCAACATCTTAGGGAGCTAACTGAGCGTGACGGAAAAATGAAAGTCCTAAAGATGCATATGGCTGATGCTCTAAAGGATAATTCCAGGTACTTTAATTTGCAATTTTTTCCATAGAACCCTTCAGTTGTAACAAAAACTAGTTTGTGTATCATTTTGTGGTTTTCTTTCTTGCTGGTGTTGGCTTTTTAATTTAATTAATTACAATTTTAATGTCTTGCTTCCCAGGGAGAGGCAAGTACAGCTTGAAGAACTCACAAAGGAGCTTAAAAGAGTAACAGAAGAAACTGATGTTTTGAAATCCAAATTGCAGACAATGAAATCATCAAATCAGGTAATTGGTAGATTCTTTTATACTCTATATTATTTTTCTTTGAACTAGTGATAATTATCATTTTTTAATAGTAAATGATAATTTTACCAAAAGGACGTAAAGTCAGCAGAGTGAGAATAACTCTCAAAAGAGAAATGACAACTTTGAGTTTAAATTTACAAGACATGTTTCGACATTCTCATGTCATCTTCAGTTGCAAATGAGCTTTTAACAGTTGTACATTTGAATTTATATTAAGGTACGTTACAAATTACGTGTCAGGGCTTACGTTACAATTTGAATATTAAATACCCGAAAAATGTAAAAAAAAATGTCTCTTTCCTTTTAATTATGTTGTTCCTTGGTCTTTTATTTTATCATTATTATTATTATTATTATTATTATTATTTATTTTTTTTTTATCTAGTCAAGTGCATGCTATTTACATTTTTCGTGGATGGTAGAGACCCACAGCAACATGGAATCTATGTTTTATCTATGATAAAAAAGCAAAATGTTGTTAATAGTAACATTGTTTATGTAACTGTCATCCAATTGGTCATAAGTAGGATCCAGTTAAAGTACATACATACATACATACATACATACATACATACATACATACATACATACATACGTACATACATTTTATTGAACACATCCCAGTCTGGGGCTTTTCAGTGAACAATTACATAATTTACATACTTGATACTATACATACAAAACTAACTAATAACACGTTAAATACAATGTAAGTTACTTATAACTTTAAGAATAGAATGGTTATTTAAATAAAAAATCATTCAGGAGATGCCTTTTCAAAGCTCTCTTAAAAGAAGCTGGTTTTTCACATAGTTTCAATCTTGAGTCAAGTTTATTCCAGATGGCTACACTTCTATAATAAAAGGTCCTCTGACCTGTTGTAGTTTTAAAAAGGGGAATGTTGAGTTGTTGAAAGTTCCTCATTATACGCCCAGATAAGTTGCCTCTTGTTACAAGCTCGGATGTCAAATATTCAGGCGCTAGGCCCGTTTTACATTTGAATGATAAGGTAGCGTCACGATAGTACAGGATTGATTTTACTGGTAACCAGCATAGATTCCTTAACGTGGATGAAATATGATCGCACTTCTTTACATTGCAAATGATGGGGGCGGCAAAATTGTGAACATATTGTAGCTTATGAACATTACAAGCTGATGTGGAAGACCATACTGACGAACAGTAGTACATCTTACTAAAAACGAGGGCGTTAATTATAGTTTCAAGCAGATCTTTAAGGTGAATCTAGTGCGACTTAGTTGGGATAGTTTCGACATGCAAGATGAGGCAGTCCCAGAGATATGATGGTCAAAGGATAGTGTGGGATCAAAAATAACACCAAGATCCTTGACTGTTTGAGCTGGGATAATTTCCTTTCCAAGCAGGGACAACTTAAAGTCTGGAAATTTAATAGACATTCTTCGACTGCCAAAGACCATCAGTTTAGTCTTCTCAGGATTAAGCATTAAGCAATTGTCGAAACACCAATCGCGTATAAGTTGTAGATCAGAGTTCACTCTTTCTATAGCTTGGGCAGAATCATTCGCACTAAAGGATAATAGAAGCTTTGTGTCGTCCACATAGCATTCAGTTGAACAATTCTGACAGATGTTTGGTAGGTCATTTACATAAATGCTTAATAATAATGCTCCTAGTACACTCCCTTGTGGTACACCACTGACTACTGGTAATTTATCAGATAATACAGAGTTGATGCGGACTGCTTATTTTCTTTGAGAAAGATAGCTTTCAAACCATTGAAGTGCAGAAGATGATAAACCAATATATAATTTAGCTTATGAACTCGAACAGAATTGGGGCAAACAGTGAGAAGAAATGGTCAGAGGTAACAAAACATCAAATCTGTACTCTCACCAGACCAGCCATTATTTCTTTAATTTCTTTCTGGAAATCAAACATTAGCTATGTACTGTGTTATAATTAAGCTGCACTTTGTTACTGTTTTTGTAGTAAATTCTAAATTGGTGGCTTTCTGTCTTTTAGGGCAAGTGTCCAAACTGTTTTGTGATGGAGAAACAGCTCCAATCAAAAATTCTTGAACTAAGAGACAAAGAAGTTGTAACCATTGAGATGCAGCAGTTGTGTGCAAAAATGGAACAGCAACTTGTGCAACAGGTAAATAATAGGATTAGTGGTAGGTGTATATTGCAAAGTAACTTCCATAAAGTTTCTTTATTGACACATTTTTTTTGTTCAATTTTGTTACAAATAATATTTATTTTGCAACATTATTTCTCTTTTTCAAATAGGACCAACTTTTGCGTCAGTGGGCAAAAAATAAAGGAAAGCCAGTCAGGTGATAGAAGAGGTGAGATTTTCTTTCTTGGTCAGCACGCCTTAGACAGTCTGTACATAAATGTAATGTTATGTAATGTAATAAATGTTATGTAATGTTATGTAATGTAATAAATGCTAGAAGTCAAAATAAAAGCAATAGATAAAGGAAAAGGAACATGTGTCGCATATGAATCTCGTTGGTAGCTCAAACAAAACTCTTAGTGGTGATTAGTGAAGCATTTAGCTTGCAATATGTGTTGGTGTTTCAGGGCTAAGGTTATTTCAAAGTTATAAAACAAAAAAAAGGCACCCATGCTAGGTCAGTTGCTTTTGAGCATTTGAGAAGAAACACCATGGACCTACTCTCATCAATTTACCTCAAGCCACTCAATTTGGTTCTTTCTGCTTTTTCTTTCCCACAGGGTGCACATATCTGATGTAGATACAGTTGGTGACCACTTAGAAAATTTGACTGCCCAAAAAAATATGAATCCCCATGCAACAACTTTTTATTTAATTTAGCTATGTAGAATATTAGGTGTGTAATATAAAAGCTCTTTATAACAATAGAATTAAAGTATTTTGAGATTATAACCCTGTCTAGTACCTGTCTAAGACTTGGAAAGGTTGGAAACTGGCTGTCACTTGAAAGGCGCAATGTGGACATAAATTGGGTAGGTTTCCTACTTAATTTCAGCCTGTTAACAGCTAGTGGTTTCAAGAAGTCTTTGAAACTAACAGTACAGCTTTGTCTGGACCTATCTCTTTCATAATTTTTCATCAAAATCCAACAAATCTACCACCCACAATACATGCAGAATGCCTTAATCTCTTTTTCCAATGGATTTTGTCCTTTCTTTAAAGATAAGCTGTCAACTTACTTTATGATATTTATACTCTGGAGAGATGATTCCTGAGTGAAGAGTGAGGAAAGGGTTTTATTTTAAATTATTGTAAAAATACAGAAAGAAGGACAGACCAAATAAGGATAGTGTTTAAAAGAAAAGTATCTCAAGATGGTTATTCCTTACCATCCTTGAGTTATGGGGTGGTTTTTTATATGCATATATTTATTGGCAAAATAATGCATTGAATTTCTTGAAGCAGTGATAAAATCAGTAGGATTAATGGGACTAAGATGGAGCCTTCCTGAAGACAGACAATATGTCTGATACATTAGCTGTAGACAAAGCTTGATCCTCGTTGTATAAAAGAGATCAGTTATTTTCATTGTTATTAGAAACATCTTAAATTGAGGTGCTCTGAGAGTTTTAGGGTTGGTGTTAATGATAGTTCAGGAATAAGATCAGTGTAAAATATTCTCCATGAGTGGCAATAAAATACAGATTTTTGTTTGTGTTTGTCTAAGTTTGTGTTTATTGCAACACCCAATGTTCTCTCTAACTTCCAAATTTATTAAAAGCTTATACTTTGTTTCAATAGCACGATTTACATGTCAAAAAGGTTTAAATTGTTTGGTTTTTTAAAGCTGTTTTAACTTTCATTTGTGTTGAGGCAAAACAAACAAACTCAGAACAAAATCATCTGTGCTGTTGATCTAGTAAGCAAAACAGGAGTGTGAAAATATAACTCCGGGAGATGAGAGTTTATTCTATTCATTTAAAAAATCTGCGGTGGTCCAATCGTTGAAGAAAGGATGAATGTGATTTTCTTTTAATCAGGGCTCCTTTAAGGAGGTTCTTTATTTACCCACGCTTTGCGGCTTTAATGCGTTCCTATGGTAACAGTTATTGTGATAGTGCTTATCGCATGTGTTGTCATCCTTTTGTGATGAGTTGTTCGTCGTTCTTTGTTCTCAGAATTCATAATTGCAAAGGTAACGTGACAAATCTTTTGTGCCTTTGTCAACAGGCAAGATAAGATCGTTTTTTAAATTTTATTTTGTCCTGATGGAGTGATTGATTTAGCGCTTAAAACTCGAGGTGTAAATTGCGTTTCCCTTTCCTATTTTTCGCTTTTTACTGAGGTGAATGTTTTGCGATCTGTAATCACTTTTTAGGAAATTTTGCACTGGGCTCCAACATTCTAGCAGAAGGTGTCAGTCTCTAAGGTGATAGACCCAAAGGAAGTCTTGGGCACAGCCGATGTGCAATCTTTGAGCGCGAAACTTGTCAGAAAGAGAGTTTTCGAGGATCTGCTTCAGTGCTTCAGTCACGCTTTCGGAACACAAATTTGACGTCAATTCTAACTCAAGCTGAGTCTTTTAAGTTCGACAAGTAAGTAAACGGATCACTTAACTTCGACCTATACACAGTAAAGAACTTAGTTAGCCCTCTTAGGCCGTTGGACACTTGACGTTGTGATACAGCGCGATCGGTCACCAAAAAGAACTATCGTATTTCATTATCGACCGTTGCTGCTATTAATCTTACGTTGAAATCTTCCCAGTTGGTTCGTGGTGAGAAATTGATCTTCTTCCCGTGTTTAATGGCCCGTACTAATTGTTATAATCATTGGTGAAGTGGAATGGCCAAGAGCCATGAGATGGAACAGTTTAGTTCTGCAAATACTCGCATTAATCGCCGCGAGTTGTACCCAAATTCTGCGGAGGATAGATCACCACCTTTTTACGACTCGGACTCTCCAAGCGATACTCCGTTGGTTAATAGGTAGGGTAATTCAATTTTAGACAAGTCTATGTGCTAACTGAAAACATGTTTATTAAGTAATCGTTTAAAAATCACTGCCCCCTCAGTTCTTATTTGCGATCGATATTGCACTTATCAGGATGATACAATTTTTTTGTTAATCACAGACATTTTTTGCCTGCAGGATTTTCTTTGAAATTTACTTAGTCGTTTGTTTTATCAAATGCAATCGCAAACTTACGGTTTCATATTCTAACAGAGGCTTCTTTTAGCAGCTGCCAAAGCTAATGTTGTGTTTATCGAGAAAAGATTACTTGTACTGTGAAAAAACAGCTGGATTTCCTCTCAACAATGCCGTTTCCCAAAACTAAAATTTGAAGGCTAATTTTAGTACAACCAATGGTTCACTCTTTTATTCACCTTTCTATGTGCAGGAAATTAAGCAAATTGCAAGAATTCAGTAATTTATTCGGTGAACTAAAGCCTCATTTAAAAATCATTGAAGTTGCAAAAATATTGAGTCAGAAAACAACGTTGTTTACATTTAGCACCGTCGACAATTTTCATCTTAGTGCTGCAAGCCAATCAACATCACCGAGGTCATCTCGCTCTTCAACTTTGGGTTCTGGTTTGTCAACACGCTCAGCAACAACTACAAGAAGCGATGGCGAAATTGAAGCCTTAGATAACGTTCGAGTCGTAGCAAGGTGGGTAAATTAAATTCGGATGCCAGCTCTATGTTTACATTTCGCGAATTGCGTTTTCGTGACCATCCCACTTGTGTTTGATTAAGTTAATTTCACGTCCTATCAAATTTTTCGGCAGCTGCCTTCAAAGCTCGCAAAATTCAGTTAAGCTTTGATTTTAATCATCCTTTTTTAATCTGATAGAGGCGATGATAATGACTGCATGTAGTTATTGGATGATCTTTAGACCATGATTATCCTGTGTACCTTATGAATTTTATCTTTGACACTAATTGCTCCTAATTTTCCACGGTATAATTTCCATCATCAAGTAAGTTGATAATAACTGGGAAAGTACACATACTTTCTCTAGATTTTGTAGATACTCTTAGAAATTTTTTTCTGAAAATGAAGTGAAATTGTCGTCTTTTGAGCTAAAAAAAGATCGTAAGAGATGAATGCAGGTCCATCATATTAAACCTCGGGAGACCTGCATGCAGACTCTAGTTTTGAAATATTTAACAATTATTCCACAAGCGCGCGTTGGATATGAGATGATAGATAGCCTCATTGACTATAATCATCTCATATCCAACAAGCGCGAGTGGAATAATTGTTTTATTAAAAAAAGCGCCCTCAAGATATTAGACAAATCTTCTCGACTTTATTTTGTTAGAAGAAACCGGATGTTACAATGTACAGATATTAGATTATGGTATATTGGCTCCTATACCATAATGGCTAAGCCAATAAAAAGTCTTGAATTGCATTATCCAATGATCCAGTTTTTAATAAAATAGTTTATTCTCTAGGCAAGATTAAGCACTAAAAAAAAAAAAAAGAGGTCAAGCTCTCCATCTATTACTGTTAGAATAAACTCTTTATATCCAATTTCCCTTTTCAACAATTACTAACTATTGAAATTAATTTAATCACCATTAATGTTGATCAATCTATCATAAACATGCATGTACCACATTAGCTTCGGGGATGCTATCATCAGGGAATTCATATTTGAATAGTAGTGCGTTGTTTGCAAGGAAGAGACATATAGAGTGAAACCAGTTTCTTAATAAGGGGTTGCAGCTGTTTGAAACTTAATTGATTTTCTATTTTACATAGTTATTAGTCATTTTTATGTAAAATCTTAGTTGCCAAATACCTGAAAGTAAACACTTAACTCCCTATATTTAATCTGTGGCTTTGCACTTCATTGTATTTTGAACCATTTTGTTTTGATGTCATTGTGCCCTTTGTTCAAAATGACAACATTTTCATTAAGTTCTACATTTACTGCTAACTCTTCCAGATTATCCAAGTCAGTCTCCCGAAGACATGTTGTTACATCTGTTATCTTCCATGAATTAAATTTTTTCTCCTAAATTTAGTCTCTTTTTAATTGAAAACAAAAATAGGATTTTAGTTAAAGAATAGTTGTATTTTTGTGATATTAATCATGGGATTATGCACTGGTCATCCATCAGTAGGAGCTGTGGAGATAGACTGGGAGAAGGAATCAATAAGAATAAGAATTTTAGGAGCTGGAGAAGATATGATTCAAAATGAGACATCTCCAGACTGAATGGTTGGGAAGGTTGGACTCCCTACAACTGACCAGATAAATCTCTCAGAAAATCTCTCTTTTGACCATTACTAGAGCACGTCCTTTGAATCTTGCTGAGAGAGATAGAGGTGATAAAAATGTCTTAAAGCTACCAGGAGATGGAGCTGTTTGGGTCAGTTTAACTATTTATTATTTATGTTGATGTTTTTAGTATATATTTGAGTTAAACATTGTAGCTGATACAAAGTATCATTAGAGTTATTCTCAATCAGTGGAGGTCATTTTTTTGTTGACTTTAGGAGCAATTGGTCCCATTCCATTTGAGGGAAAATTATCAATTCAGGTCTCTAAGAATTAAAAATGTTGAAGTTGATACAAGAACACAAGTAGCAGTAGT